TATTAAAATAGTATCAAAAACTCCAGTAAATTTGATCTAAGTTATTGTACTTTGAAGAGTGGTCTTTTACTTGAACTTATACGTCGTAGATTTGTTTGTGCTTACAATGGTGATGTTTATTATTTTTCTGGATATTTGTGCAATGAATTGAGGTTTTTAGTTGAGAAAATCATTCATAATTGTAAGAGCTAAATTTCTATAGAATAAATCCATCCAAATTTCTTTGCGGGCTGTGATTAAGCGAGATAGAGATAGAACTTCACTTTTCATTACATTTATAGATGGATTTACGCATTTCAGATATGCCTCTGATTTTCTTAAGTTGAAGATAATTAACTAGTTTAGACTTTTCTGAAATCGAGTAGAAAATTAGAATGTGGAAGTGAAAACTTTGAGAATTATCTAATGGAGTGAATCTCTATCACGAGATATCAATGATCTATGTAATGAAAGAGATTCTTATTTGATAGACTAATCCTTAGTCACTAATAATTATATGGTGTATTTGATAGAAGAAATGGAATATTGCTGAATATGATGAGATTTGAGATATGCAGTCTAACTTACGTATTTGCCTTTGAAAAGAGTATTGGCAAACTACAACACATCAGTTAACGGAGTTTTCTCGATATTGGTACCTTTAGAATATATAAGTTTTGGACACGTAGATAACCAAATATAAGTTATCATAAACTCATAATGGATTGTATATATTCTCGACAATGAGTTCAGGAACATGAGTCTATTAAGAATGGGATGTGTCTCGATGACATACATGTAGTCCAAAAAAGGTATTTAAGTGAAATTTTTAATGGATATCAAATTACAAGATGTGACATTTGACATTTTTTCCAATAAAGAGAGAAAAGATTGGAGAACATCGTTGAAATTGATGTTATATGTCTTGATGAATAGTTTTGAATACATAAGAGTTGATTCAAACTTTTTATTCAAGTGGAGTAATCTATTTTCGAGTTAGATCTATCTATCCAAGTGAAAATCATCTAAAAACTACCTAATTTCAATGACTCTTAGTTCCGAGTAGGAGCTAAAAGCTATTTAATTTCAATGATTCTTGGTTCCGAGTGGGAACTAAGAGCTATTTAATGTCAATGATTCTTGGTTCAAAAAATCAGTGGAGAATTTTGAGAAAAGTGATGGAAATATATATGGAGTATAGAATTTCAACCTAATCTGGGATATGGTGGAAGCTCTATTTGGACATTATGTTTTTTGAGAACATTCAAGTTTTTGAAAACTAAGTGGAAGACTAATCAGTTTCTAATAGATAAAACTATCTCTTTGAAAAAGGTTATACTCCATATTTGTGTGTTGAGTTAAATATATTTTTTCATGACAATGGGAATCGCTTCTATACGTTGATGCTAGCCATGAAAATATGTTTAAATTTAGAGTTACACCAAATAGACTTGAAGACTATATTTTTATTCTCAATTAATAAATAATTGTAGAGATCAACAAAAATTGTTTTGTAGATTTCATGTTAAAGGTCTTTTTAGTATTATGATAACTTTATAGTTACGCTCATAACCTAATATAGTCATCTTGACAGTCGTACTCGAGTTTTTAATAGGGTTAAACTCGTACAAAAAACTTTCTTCATATGGACGAAAATTACTGTATTTGTGAAAAGGTTTGATGGTAGGTTGTAATTCTAATTTTGATATTATTACATTGGATTGGCTAAGCATGAAAATGAGTGTATAGAGACCATTTTGAAATGATTGTCCTCAATCTTAAAGATAAAGGACATGGATTTAGCAAATTGTATGATTTGTATTAAAAAGATTATTCGAGTCTTCTTACTCTACCATAAGAGTTTATACTATAAAAACTCATGTGGTATTACTACCCTGTTGATACTTTTATATCGAAAGGTGATCATATGAGTCTTCATAAATGTCCAAAAACTCTATAAAGGCATAAAGAAATATCCTCAGAACCATATCTAGTACGATTAAGAGTTAGGAGATAGAAGTATATGATTATGTATACTTGTCATAACATTGGTCATGCCATGGATCTAATCAATAGGTATCAATATTATCTTCAGAAAATATATTGTGATACCTGAAGCATGCTGTTGTCAGTTATTTTATTTCATTGTCAAAGGAATAAATTGTGATTGGAATAGATATACAATTGTCGACTAAGAATGAGAGTAAGTCGAGCACAATCATTATTAGACTTGTGCACTCTTGCTATCTAGAGTAGTAAGAAACATATATTGTAATGTATATCTTGGCAACTAAAGAAATTGTTTGATATAGATGTATTGAGTATCTAATAATACTGGTTGAGAATATGAGATTCATGATACTTACGCAACTATCTTATATGTTAAGATCTCAAGTATCAAGATGAAATCAAACACATTTCTACAAGAAAAATTAGCAAAGAAAGTGTCTTTGCGATATATCTACATAAATGATGATATGTAATCATTATACTGTGAAGATGTCTAGAGATTTATTTGTTGGTAATATCAAATCTCTAGAATTTTGTAGAATATGATACTTAGTATATCAAAAAACTCTTGATTAAGTTTTGTGTGCCCATAATGAATAATTTGAGTTTATGTGTAATCTAATGTTGAGATTATGAGATAAATAATATGTGTGTACATATAAAGTATGTCTAACAAGTTGAGACTGGCTCACTCACACGAGCAATCGCCTTAGACGCTTTGAGGTGTGCTGAGATGAGACATAGTGATCATGTTGTGCACATAATCCAGTTTTCTTGATAAAATATCAAGATGAAATTACAACAAGTAATGAAAATGGATTTTGCTATCCACTAAATTTGTTTAGTAGCCGGATCATGTTCTCGATTTGAGATTGCTTGAATGAATGAACATAAAGAGAACTTAAGTTAGATATCGGGAGAATACATGAACTAGGATCTTTACGGTGTTATTTGTTTACAAAAAATATGACATACACCCCAAGAAAGGGAGAAAATATTGTAGCACGTGTTTCATACCATGTGTAGTTTTACGATCAATATTGGATAAATAAGTGAATGGATCACTGCTTCCTCACTGTGTGAGACCTTAAGGTTTATATAACCTCATATATACCCTTATGACTTTTGACTGTTTTTTGAGATTTTATTTCAAATTGCTACTTTAGCATGTTCTCAATAACTATGATTGATGATGGAGCATGTCTTGGAATGCAGTTGATTTAAAATTGAAGGATTCAAGTAGGAAATGAAAATTATATTGACCAACATTTATGTTTGTATTCACCGGTCGGACAATTGTGTTTAACCATTTAGAGTATAGAACACAAGTGTGAATACAATGATATGGTGTAGAGTTCAAGTATGTTCCATAAATACTCGAGGTATGAAAATACTTGAATTAATGTTGGAAAATGAGTTTGGGGTATAGCGAGATGTGATGTTCCTCTAACAGAGCTACTATATATCCTTAACAGGTTTATAGTACCGTGAGCTCTAATATTACTCTCTGATCGCACGATCTATTTACCGTATGAATTTTTGTGAGATAGATCTTGAGAAGGATTTAAGGTGTAACATTCGTTGTTACTTGTGGTTCGGATCAACCCTATCATGTACGAGTGAGAGTGTTGGAAAATATGGGTAATGGATCGCCCATGTGAAGTGACCCAACCCTCAAGATTTTAATAGGATTGGAGGGAGTGGTTTGAATCTGGAATTCAAATCCATAACTCCCAAAGTAACTCCTTACAACCTCCATATAGAAGTTATGGAGGAAAAAAAAAAAAAAAAAGGAAGTGAATTTTCATATGGAAATTCACACCAAAATTGAAAAGTTCCAAGAACCATATTTTTAACATTAAATCTCACAAAAATTGGCACTTAGAGTGTGGATAGTAATTTCTTTTCATTGTGATCAGATTGAAACTATTGGAGTACTAGAAAATATAGATTTTGATACTTGGATAGTAAGATAATAACCACAAAAAATCTTGAAATTCATCATTTCAAGTAAATTTCTTGATCCGAAATTCATTTCAAAGTATGCTGCGATTTTCTACATAAACCTTTTTACTAGATAATTTAGTATCTTTATGCATGAAGATAATTAATTCGGTTGTTTAGTTTAGTCATCTCATTTTCTCTCTCTATGTGTTTGATTCACGAAATTAGTGACATGACATTTAGTTAATTACCAAAAAGGGAGTCAATTAAATTGCACATTTAACTCTTTCGTTACTCAAGCCAGCGGATATGAATGGAACGATCAAATTGCAATAATTATTTAAGTGAAACTTGCAACAAAGTCAAGTCATCACTCAGGGTGCATTCATCCTAACGAAGCACCTAGAAATACCATGGGCTTAAGCTAAAAAGTTTAATTATACAAAATTTACTTGTAAGCAAATAAGTAAATTAAGAAATAAGTAATTTATAGGTTAAAATCGAAATTAATAAGTTAGTTATTTTAATATGGAAGTAATTCTTTTACTTAAAGGCGAGAATAATAAATTCGTTCGAAACAAAAACTTAGTTAAAAATAACTTATACTCATTTTGAGCTCAGCTAAACACGGTACACTAGTGCATGTTTACTCAATATAGATAGATGAACTAATTTAATTCATTGATTCTGTGGGATAGATTCCCTCTTGTGAATCAATCTAAAGTATATTTGATAATTTTAGAACATCACTTATGAGTAACATATTGTTCTTTATCTGATCTCACTCTCAAAAATAATTGTTTCAACTTGCTCCTCGAGTATAGTTTAGTGGTGCAAAGGACAAGAGTGGAGTTATTCACGCCTTGCTGGCAACCACAATGTGGGGGTTCGATTCCTGAAATATGAAATTGGACTCCTTGTAAGCGCAGTGTACAAGCAGCTCTTGTTCCCTGCCCTGTTAAGACACATATCGCTATTTACCTCCCTCACAAAGTTCCAGGGGCGGGGCCGTGGGGACCCTTAAGGTTGGGATTCAACCTTTTTAATAATTGTTTCAACTCATTTCATGGTCAATGGATTGTTTCTCCATTGCTTTATTAAACTTCATTCGAAATACAGTCTAGGAAAGAATACAGATTGTTAAACAATCAAAACAATAATGAGTTTCTACTCATGCAACCAGAGATAAATCGCTATGGAATTTTTATACAGTTTGATTCAATCTGTGCTCTCTTTAATCTGCGAGACACAGGTTATTTCTCAGTAAACGACAGGGGTACTTTTGATCTGATGTTTATGGCCGTCGTGGAGTTTTCTTCCGCTCTCCTTTGTACTTTCTTTCTGCAAATGACTGTCTGTTGAAACTACAAATACAAATGTGCCAATTTGGATGTCATCGAGTAGTTTTAAGGGCTCCAAAACCTTAATCACTTCGCACATTTTAGGTCTATTTTTCGGCCTATGGCTTAAGCATTGGTCAGCTAAGGCAGCAACTTTTTGAGCCCCCACTTCAGAGTACTGGCCTTCAAGTCTTGGATCTATTAACCTAGTAAGCTTCCTAGGATTCTTCAACATAGGCCTTGTCCAATCTGCAAGGTTTCGTTCTTTATGATGACGGGTTTTGTGTACTGATCTTTTGCCGGTTAGAAGCTCCAAGAGTACTACTCCAAAGCTGTATACATCACTTGCTGCTGTCAAGTGACCTGCAAAAAGATTGATCCATTTTTTAATGAGTCCCGTCCCATACTTGATATTTAAGCAATCAAAATGAAATTACACTATGTTTTGAATACGACGTTGACCAGTGCTAGACACGATTAATGAAGAAAAAGAAATTTAAAAAACTTGTTTATTGTCCTCTACTTTGCTTGTGCTGCAGCGTACCGAACATGTCATAATTTTCATTAAGTGGAACGGAAGAAATCACCTACCTGTCATAATGTATTCAGGGGCAGCATAACCCCTTGTGCCCATAACACGCGTTGACACATGCGAGTGATCTCCGTCTGGACCGTCCTTTGCCAGCCCAAAATCCGAGAGTTTAGCAGTGTAATCCTGGAAACATGATGATGGAGTTTCAAATAAGATATATGAATTTCTTTTATTTTTATTTATTTATTAATTTTTTTTTTCCTGAAGAAAAATACAAGTTTTTGGAGAAGTTGGGATGAGAAGAATGGTAAGAGTAAGAGTAACATACTGCGTCTAGCAAAATGTTTGAAGTTTTAAAATCTCTGTATATGACAGGCTTTTCAGCATCATGAAGGAAAGCAAGCCCTTTTGCAGCTCCAAGAGCAATTTTCATTCTTGTTGACCATGGAAGTGGAACCGAATATTCTGCATATATGAAATAAATTTGATTCTTAGTAATTAATCTTAACTCCATCAAGAAACTATTAAATGAAATCAAGTTTGTACTTAACCTTAAAATATTTGCATTCATACGAAAAGCATCGTTTGTTTAACCTAATGCAATTGGCATATGAGTCATCAAACCACCACATGGATATTGTGTATATACAGTGGCGAATCCAAGACTTTGAGTCAACACGGACGACCGTAGTAAAATATTAAGAGCTCGTTTGTTATCTGTTTTTTGCAAAAAATGCATTTTGAAATAGTGATTTGATGAAGAATGTGTGACTAAAAATAAGAAAATGTTTTAAATTTGTGTAATATTATTTTATTAAAAAATGTATGATTAAAAATAAAAGGAAAAAATATATTCTGAAATGCATGAGAATCAAACAATGCCTAAAATTTAAATATAACAATTATTTTATTGAAATTGAACAAATATAATTCTATTGTAAGAATAAATCATACTCACTAAATGACATTTCTGTCAATTTTTATATAATTCGTGCGAATATTTACAATTGCATTGAAACTGTTAAAATCTAACATATATTATTTTGTTAAATTAAATGTCAAAATTTAGGGAGTGCCATAATGGTTAAGTCTTCAATAGCTCTACCAAAAGCTATAGGTTCGAATTCCTCTGTCAGCCTCATTATTGCATCAATTTTGGTAAAAGAAATTGTAGAACTAAAATTATTATACAATGAATTGGTTGGTAAAAAATTTGAACTAAGGCTTCCAAGTTGTATGTGCTAGCTCGAACCAACCAGGCTAAAATAAACACAATGGTTAAGAGTGAATTACCAATAATATAACCTAAAATTGTCTATTGTCAATAAAAAAAAAAAAGAAAAAAAAGAGGCTTCCAACGGATCAGCACGCGTGGCCACAGGTGCTGGATCCACTAATATTTAAAATTGTTAAATATTAATTTTTACTTGTCTTCTTCAAGGTCATCAATAACTTAATATACTTGTCCCATGCAAATTGCAATATAAAAGTGATAATATGCATTGCGTGAATGTGATCATCGTGGCGTCTAAATTAATAAACAAATATGTTGACAAGTTCACGCGTGGAACAATAGTATCAACCTTCCACAGCGAATAATATACAATTATTGACCCTTACCAAATAATGTCTTATTAAATAATCTTTTCGTAACTTGATATATTTGAATATAGTAAAATGACCGAGGTGACTGACAGCTAGTTGTTCCCTGTGCTTCAGCATGAATTAAGCCCTTTTTAGCCTACTTTTTTAGGTTAAAAAGATAATGATTTTTCGGAGAATTTGTGATTAAAATATGCCCCTTTTATCTATCATAAATTCATAACATCATTCTTCAAAAACATTTTTTTCTTAAAACTCATCTTCGACTATGTTATACCACTTCGACAAAAAATGGTTGTTCTAGTTGTACATAATTTTTCATTCATAAAAGTGTTCATACACTCATGGGTGGGATATACTCAAATATTTTATTCAAGTGGGTCCCACCTCATGTAAGAGTATGAACACCTTTATGGATGAAAAATTATGTACAACTAAATTTATCCTTAAAACAATACAATGACGAAGTCCCATATGGCATTATGTCAATTATTATGTTAATGTAACATGATTCTTTTTAACTACATATTCTAATAATAAAATATTTTGTACAAAAATTTATTATTATTATTTTACTTTATAACGATACATTTTCCAAAAAATTACTATTTCAAAACTAATTTTTCCCAAAAAAAAAATCTTCTAAATGGTATCAAATTGGGGCTTATGAAATTTTTTTTGACTTTTCATGTAAAATTTTATGAGATAACATGATTGAAAATGAGTTTTAGAAAAAATTAATTTTGAAAAAAATGGAGCTCAAGTTTTCAATAAAAATAAATAAATAAATAAACAAGAGAGCATGAACACAAATGATCGATGGAGTTTGTGTACGCTTGAGAATGTTATTTTTTAAGTAAAAGAATTGAATTATTTTGAAACTAATGCATAAAAAAAATAAATTCCTTATGTTAATTACGTACTTTTGAAGAGTTGATTTTCGAGGCTGCCTCGAGGCATGTATTCATATACAAGAAGCCTGTGTTCTTCTTCACAACAGTATCCAATCAGCTTCACCAGATGTGAATGTCTCAATTCACCAAGAAAAATCACTTCAGTCTGTTGATCATGAACATAATCTCAATTAATTAATTAAATCCAGCACCATTAAACAAAAAAATTATGAACGAGACTCTAAAATTATATACCAGCCATTCTCTATGACCTTGTGCACCATCCAAGTCCAGAAGCTTGACTGCCACAGGCTGGGCCTTCAAACCTGGCCTAAGTCTGTCATCGATGAATCCCTTGTGGACTGGTCCGAACCCTCCTTGACCGAGAAAATTACTCGATGAGAAGTTCTGAGTAATCACCTTCATTTCTTGAAGAGTAAATACATAAAGATTGGAGCCTGCTAAAGAAGCAGATAGATCTTCAGATAAAGTTGAACTGCCTAAATCGGATATTGAAATCCTTCGATATGAAGAGTGTTTCTTGTAAACAACTTCTTTTGTCTGTGGATTATTAGGGCACTCGTCAATCTTTAAACAGCTGGAAAAAACACTTCGAAATTTCATCTTCTTCTTGATCACTGCCATTCAGCACAAAAATAATTCAAAAGCGTAGTGCTGTTTTTGTAGAGAGAGGTTAAAGATTTGACGAGTAAGAAAAATGTAATGTGATTGAAATGTGCAAAGGTTTATATATATAATAACACATAGACACAAAACGCACTGAGGCAGCTGGTTTTATAATTAGAAAATGATTTATTGTGCAAAAAACAAGGATGAGATATATTCAATTTTGCTGATAGTCGTAGTGTGAGGGTTCGATTCCCGAAATATAGATTGAGACTATTTGTGGACACTAGTGTATAGGCAGTTCTTATTCCCTGACACGCATTTCTCGATTAACCTTTCTCACGATACTCTAGAGATGGAGCTATGTGGACTCTTAAAATTGGGGTTCAACTTTTTTTAGAAAATGTTTTAAATATACGCAGACACACACAGCTGGCTTGTTGAAAAGAGCTGCGAAGGCTGGCTGCTGATACCTTTTGACTACAAAAGTATTGCATTATTATTTGTGTAATTATGTTTGAGAAATTTAGGCAATACTTATTAAATTCCAATTATTTAAAGGGATTTCTTGAGCCATCTCTAGAACGTGTTTCCTTGACGCGGGGTCAACATAAAAAACAAGAAAATTTCGGTGAACGTTGACTTTGTCAACTTTGACCTTTCGAACAAAGAAAAGATTTCATTTAAAGTTTTTTGGCGTAATGCCAATAGCTATATATTAGCATAATTACACTATAGTTCCCTACTTCTTCCATATTGTCATACTTTCGCCGTACCAATTATATATATTAAGTTTCATTTTTCTGTTATTCTAAATATATAGCTCAGTTTTCTAATTTAAAATATTTTATTTTATTTTTTTACCAATATAACCTTATTCAATTTTTCACACTTAATATGCCAATTTTTTGAAATCATCCAAATACACACATTTCTCATTTCTTGAAAATATGAAACAACTCTCATTTCTTCTTTTTCAAATTAAATCATTCAAATTCTTTACTAATTCCAACAATAATTTAATATTATATATACTAAAAATTAAATAGAAGTAAACTAGGAAAGATTTTGGCAAAAATTAATTCTCCAATGACATTAAAGAAGATTTCTTTATCCGCGTGAAAAACAAATCAAGCATATACAATTGGGACGGATGGAGTATTTATTAGCATAATTTCATTAAAAAGCTTACAAATTGTGATAATTACACTAAAGTTCCCTACTTCTTACATATTGTCAAGATTTCATTAAAAAAAAAATGCTTATGACAAAATATATTAGCATAATTGCCCTAAAGTTCCCTACTTCTTAAATATTTATGTCCCCAAGTTTTTCTCATATCATTTTTATTCTCAACCTCCCATTAATTATTACATATTGTCCATAACCATGATTTTGTCCAAAAGTTCTATTAGCATGCTCTAAATAGGGGAAATTTTTTTTAATAGCACTTTCGTAGTTTTATTTTATTTTTGCTTTTTTAAAAATATCAGGAGTAAATAATTTTTTTTACATCCTCTTCATAAAATTTTTGGGCAAAAATCATGATCAAGGACATGACTTGCTAATTAATAAAAAAATTGAAAGTATAAATGCAATGAAAAGTCAAGGACATAAATAATAATGCAATAAAAATGTCAATAAGTAAAGAGTAATGTTAGGACTGTAAGCAAAAATCGTCAGATCGAAAATTTGTATTTTAGAAGCTGTCAGTTTGGTGCCACGTGGATCTGGTCAACGAAATGATTTTGAACCAAACCAAACCATTGGGTTTGAGAATTTTAATTGAGATTTAAAACCAAATCGGACCGGCGAAAAAATATATAAAAATGAAAAAAATGAAATTTTTAGAAAATTCATCCAAATATGTAAAATTCAATAGTTTTGTCATTTGTGGGTATCTTTGTCAATTTCTAATTTTCTAATATAGATATATTATTATTATCTAATAATTCTAATTTATATCTAATAATCTCAAAACTAACATAATCTATCAAAAGCTCTTTTCATTTTCAGAATTTAGATGAATTACAGCCGATACCCAATACAGTCTTGAGTCACCTGCACCAGACACTTCTTTTTTAGATTCTTCACTCTCTTCAAAGTTGAATTGAAGCCCATTATACCAAATTGGAGACAGAGAGATCCTAGACCTTCGGTGATAATATTTGCTATAAATAAAGTTTCAGATCAATAATTTTTTTAAAGTAAACTAAGATAAGAATCTGAAATTAAATGCGTTTCGTAACATCATACAAATGTAAATTTGTGTAATTATTATGTTTAGATATTATAAACAATTATTTTATTATTATAGTTGATTATTCTCTTTGTCTAATCAGTATCTGTTTTTAGATATGATGATCACGAGGTTTTATTGGACATCATTATATTTTTTGGGCCTTATACTCGCTTAGTAGACTTGGATTGTAATGTTATTGTATCATCATTAGTCTAAAAAATGTGAATAAAAATGAAAAAAAACTATATTTTAGTTTATTGTGATTTCACTTTATTTAGTTGGTATTTAAATTTATAGTGGATATATTTAGCCCCTTTGTACAATATTTTCCATATTATCATAATAAGAATATTGACCAATGGAGAGGAGGTTGAGTTTCACACATGAAACAACAGGTCAATAAAGGCGGTTGGACTTATGGGATAATGACCCAAATTTTCATTTTTTTGTCCCAAAAATTTGGTTCAAATAGGAGCTTAGTTTGTTTTAGATTTATTACTAGTAAGATATAAATATATATTGAATTCAATTAATTAATCACATGAAAGTAAACATGCAGAAAAATACAGGACGAAATCGACGGTTTAAAATCGGACCAAACCATTAGGTTAAGGTTTGAGTTTTTTTCAAACTGTTCAAAATGATTTGGTTTAAATTTGGATTTTTCTCAAACCGATTAAACGGTTTGATTTGAAAATCTATCAAAAATCAATAAAATCAGACCGCTTACACCTCTAAGTAATGTTATGTAGCTCTATTGGGATTGCAATCCTAGTCTAGGTGGCGCTAGATAATAGATTAAATGAAAATTGAAATTAAATGAGTTATTTATTCTCACGTATCAATTAATGCCATCTAAATTGGAGTTGCAACCTCAATGGAATTAAATAACATTTAACATAAGTATGTGTTAATGGTCTTTCATGCAATTAAATTTTGACACTTGTAAGGTTTAACTTAATTTTAGTTCTTCCATTTCCCAAATTCAATCTTCCCTTGTTCCATTAAACCCTTGTTGGATTCCCATTCTTTAAAAATTCATTTTCAACTATACATTTTTCAATACAATAATTTCACACACAAATAAAAAAAAAAATTCTTTAATTTTTAACCACACATTCTCTATCAATCTACTATTCAAACTGCATTATTTTCTCCTAAATGGGAATAAAAAAAGGGCTAACTGGCTAAGTATTGTTAAGTCGAGTCACGTTGTTGTCTTGATGTTAGTAAAAATTGTCTAACCTGTAAGTTTTTGTTTGACAATAATTCATCAGATGCTTGTACCACTACAACATTTTTCCCTACATTTACTGGTACAAATTCATGGTAGAAGAATTATATTAGTCTGTCTTGTGGGCCCTTAGGTTATAGGCCATTCTCAACCTGGAGAATCTCCATTAGAGCGTAGATGCTTGTCAGAAATATTTTAGTGTCAGTCTTATAAGGGAAAACTCTCAAGTACTGGGTTTTTCCTACCATATTGCCTACAGCTGATTGGTAGTTTTCATTTCTTTTTTAGCATCTACCAATGAGAAATGGATAGTTGGCTGCCTATATAAAATTTGTGAAACTTTTTTCTGTACGTATAACAAAGACTCTTCTTACAAAATATATAGATCTTCCAATTTTTGATATAATGTAGTTCTCACACAAATCTTACTACAGTAATTGTATATTCACACCAAATATTTTTCTCGTAATTGATTTGCTTTATTTGTAAATGCAGCCTGAGACCGCCTTCCTTCCAGATTTCTCATTGATGAAGCAGCTTATACGTTATAGTCTTGGGTCCATTGCACTTGGTTTGTTGAATCATTTCCATTTATACTTGAAGCACTCCGTCGCAGACTAAAACTTGAAAATTCTATGCCTAGAAGCTGGACTGGAAAGATGGTATTTCACGCTACACAATATTGCTTGGGGTGTATTTGTTGGACCATCAAATCTGTGAACCACAATGCTTACATGATGGTAAGTTTGAAGCATTTTCAGTTAAGATGCAGCGAGGTATTGTATTTGCACATGTTTCTTCAAGCTCTCATTCAATGGGATTAGTCCTTTACAAGAATTATACTTGTAAAAGTCACAATTACATATTGTACTCTTTCTATGGTTTGATATTGTATTTGGAGGATATGAATCGACTTCCCAATGAAAACTATCATTATTTTGTATTCTATGTTTATTTGTTTATTTTAGGCAAATCAAGTACTTTTTTTCGATTTATCAAAATGATATATGGTAATGGTTAAAAAATATTGTAAAAAACAAGATATAAGAATAGACAATATTAAGAAACGTTGTAGTAAAGTTATTAGCAATACTTAAAAAATCGTTGTTGTATCCTTCTATTCTACAGCAGTATCAAAGTTTGCAACATACGTCCAAACATCGCAAAAAGTCTTCCACCACATTTTTTGATTGTTGTAAAAACCTGTTTTGTTGTAATGAAAGGAAAAATAGATGGTAAAAACGATATAAACGATATAAACGACGTGTGCAATAAATGCAAATAATAGGGACATTTTGCACCAATTTCCCATATTTGATTGAAGAAATTAACAAAATGAGACATAAATAATCAATTCCACAAGAAAATATTGAAATGAGGTGCAATGCTAAGTTTGAAAAGATAGGAAAGATTTGCACAATAAGTGCAAACAATATAGATATTTTGTGCTAATTATCCTTTTTTTTATTTACTGAAAGTGAAGACATTTTCATTAATTAACATTTTTACCAACGCAATGCAAAATAAAAAGAAGACATCATCTACCTAGTGACAATTTACCTTTTGTGAAATAGCAATAATTTAGTGTGCAGGTTCGATTCCAATCTCTAGGAATAAATTGATGAATAACGCCGCCA